TTTTGCCACTTGATTGGGCCTTAAAGAAACTGGTGAGAGCTGAAAGTGTTGATATCTGTTCAGAAAGATAAGAAACTATGTAAGGCACGCATATAATTACATGTAAACCAGATGCATGTCTTTCACAGTGGATAGCTTGGCCTATGAGATAGAGGGAAGTTTTCCCACCTTTATGTTTCCATGCAAGAGACTGTGATAAAATATTGTGAATAATTCCATCATTTTTAATAAGCCCGAGGTTTCTGTCTCAACCATAACATGGTTCTGTTTACATTGGCACAGACTGTGTACAGATCTTGTGTCTCCAAACAAAACTGAAACACATATTGAGCTATACGTTTCCTTCGAGGCAGACATCTGTTTCACTAGAGAATGTAAGAAATCTGACATCCCGTTTGAACTTGAAAAATGAGGAGGGCCCTTGCTGTCAGTCTGTCTGATACATTCAGGTCCCGGGGATTCACTTTCAGGCGTGGTGGTAAAGTGTTGATGGTTGAGAGTTATTTTGTGACTATGGTGCAAATCAATGGTAACACTGAAGCAACAACACCCCTTTCAGTGCAATTAAAGCTTTACAGTCAAATTATGATTTATGAATTCCTTTGAATATGGATGTGTAGTGTGAAATAGAAAACTACAACTGAAGGTATCAATTACTTTCTCTTATTTGGTTTCTATTTTGTTAATTTATGTTTTTTTTCATACTAAACCTCTTAAAGTTTTCTATGTTATTTATCTAGACTTAATCCCTTTAAGGAGCTTTTTTTTTCTGGAGAAGTTTTGATATTACTTAACATTAATTAACTTTTGAGTCTTGAACATAAGGGTTTCATTGCTTAAGTATGTGTTCAGGTTAATATCATCACTTGTTCTACATTTTTCTAACCAAAGGTAATGTTCTGTGTTCTCCCCCGGCCCCTCAAGTCATGCCTCTGGGTACACCTGCTCCCCTAACCAAGCGGAAAAAGCCCTCCAAGATCATAACTGACCTATCACATATCCCTCAGGATGGTAAGGCTTACATAAAATGACGTGACTATGAAACCAAGTTACCACTGCTCAGTAGAGCTCTTTCATATAAACACAGTACACAGAAATACACGGTGGTAAAACAAAAAGGGGTACAAATATTAGAGAACTAGCTGCTTATTTGCAGTACAATTAAGTCAATCTACTTTACTAATAAAGGATACCGTTCTTTAATGAAACAATGTTTATGAGTTAGTACTACTTTCAACCTCATTTACCAATGTTAGGGCCATTGTTTGGCTCTCACTTACGTAGAATATGAGTCAGAGCCAGAGGCATCGGAGTTTGACCTGGGAACAAAGATCAGAACTCCTAAAGACATCATGCTGGAGGAGCTTTCCCTGCTGAAGAACCGAGGATCCAAGATGTTCAAGATGAGACAGCAGAGAGTGGAGAAATTCATCTATGAGAACAACCCTGACATCTTCAGTAGTGAGTCCATGGTGAGAGCCTAGTTCATAAACAAAATAAAGTCTTGTTTGTCACTGCAATGCAAATTTATTGACACTAGGTTGATAATCCAAGCAAATTTGAGGCAAATAAATCTTGAAATAGCTTTGAATCTTGTGCAGAAAGGTAACACCTGAAGAACTGTATCCTTACCTTTACAATTTTGCTTTTGTTGATATAAATATTTGAAAGAAACCTAGTACCAGCATGCAGATGGTGATTATTTAAATGTAAAGTCACCTGGGCTTTAATTATAATCATACTGATCAATTTTAACAGTGATGTAAGAGGGTTTTTTGGTCTTGAAGCAGATAAAGACCACACAATCATAATTTTAACCTAACCATAATGCTCAAGTCCTGATCATTATTATTCAGTAAATACAAATCAAAGCATTGTATGGTGTATGATTGATTATAATGGTGATACTTTGCTCTATATGGGGTGGCTGAAGCTCTGGAGGTAGAGCAGGTCATCTGCTAATTGCAAGGTTGGTGGTTTGATCCCTGGCTGCTCCCACTTTGCATACCAAATATCCTTGAGCAGAACATTAAACCCAAGCTGCATGAATGTGTGTGAATGGTAGATAGATAGCATTTATGCATAGAAAAAAATGGTTGTGTGAATGAGGCAAGTTGTATAAACAGCTTTGAGTGCTCAGGTACAGTAGAAAAGTGCTATATAACAACCAGTCCATTTACCCTTTCTTTCAGGACAACCTGCAGAAGTTTGTTCCCTCCCTGGGAGGTCAAGTGGGAGGTCAAATAATAAACCTCGGTGGGCATTTTGTTAGCAAGGAGTCTGGACGTCTGAATTTTGTAGGGCTACAAACAGGAGGAGGGGCCCCTGTGCCTCCCCCAAAGCCTGGAAGCAAAGGAGCAGGAGGAACGGGAGGTGCAAGTGGAGCAGGAAGTGCAGGAGTTGGTGTGGGCGAGAAAGGTGGAAAAGGAGAAGGTAGTAGTGAGTGGTCTCCACTAAAAGGTTTGTCTAATTTCTTTTTCTTTTGGCCATTTGTAGTGCAATTCTGTTTTAGGTACAGAGGGCCATTTCTCCAAAAATTATTTAAAATGCATTAACAAAGTGTGTTTACATCTTGAGAAATACATCTAGAAGGACAACTGTATAAATTAATAAAAAATAACAGTGTACACGATATATATTTTTATTTTTTTTTAAACCAAATTACATATATCTATTAAACACTGAACTATTCAAAAATGTGTTGAATATTTGTATTTGCTTTCTTGCTAAAAGTACTAAAACCACCATGACCAGCTGGTTAGTTAGCTAAGCTTGGCTTAAAGTCTGGAGAAAACTGATAATGAGCAACTCTAAACCTCATTATTTGATATGAGGTACTTTGTGCGTTTAATCTATACACAAGCCTTAGTGCAAAAAACCCAAACAGGTTCCAATATGAGGTTATCAAGAAAGCACTGCAGGAAGTCGCAGTTTCTGGCACAGTGCATTTCAACAATAGCCTAGGGCCAGTTAAAAAAGTATGCTGGACAAGTTGAATGGCCAGCTGCTGGTCTTTTTGGGCTAGTAATGGTGTTTCATTGAATGGATTCACCTTTGAAGCAAACAGTCAGTATTCTGATATCAAAATACAAATAAATATCCTTTATTGAACCACCAGTTCTGGTAGTTTTATAAGTGAAAAAAATTAGATCTTTTTAGCTGCTCCTACCCCTCACATTGTTGCATAAAACAACAGCACAACTAAATTTAGAAAAAGCTAAAATAAAATCTGTCTGTCTGCAGATAAATTGTGCTGGTTTATTTTGCCACAATCTTTCAATTTCTAGCAGCAATACCTGCATAAGAGGGGCATTTCAATCATGCCACAACCTTTATTTTTAAGTTTTAGTTACCAGCACATGTGGATGACTTTCTTTACAGGAGGTGGAAAACATGGCGGTACTAAGCAGCAAATTCATGTGAAAACCTACGTGTCTCCATGGGAGAAGGCCATGAAGGGTGATGAAGGTCTGTTAGCCACTCTACAAACCAATATGCCACATCCCAATGCCAAAAAGGAATTACTCCAGTACAAGTGTTTCAACAGGTAGTTCCCTTGAGGTCTGATATGTAGAAGATTTGTGAAAAAAAAGGAGCTTTAATTAACCTTTCACCTTGGTTTGACAGGAGTGCCATGCCCTACGGCGGTTTTGAAAAGGCCAATCAGTTTCTGAAATTTCAGCTGCCAGAAGCTGAGGCAGCCAAAGAAGAGCCTGAACCTGCAGTGGTGTACCATCATGACATTAGCTGCCGGCCTTCATTCAATCGCACTCCTATTGGCTGGGTGGGCAGCAGTGAGCCCAGCAGCATTCACATGGAGACGGATGCTGTGCCCTTCGATGGGGAGACCGACGAGCTGTGAAAGCATATTAATAGTGATTACTATGCACATACTCACACACAAGAGTAACTGCATGCATACACCATAGCATGCACACACAATAGTTGAGCTTACAATTAACTATTACACTAATGAATTTGAATCTCCCAGTGTGGACAGTTTAAAGCGTACAAATAAAATGAGGTCCTGATCTTAACATGCTCTGTATTTGGTTGTAAAGCGACAAGTTTTATTTGTTATGGGGAGATGAAACATCAAATGTCTATTTGATAAATTTATAAGTTGAGCCAAGCAGTCCTCTAATTTGTCTGAAAGTTTGCTGTTGTAGGTGAAAAATTGCAGATTGTCCCATTGAGGAATGAATCATATATGATGAATAGGTGATGAATGCTAAGTCACTATTGTGCAGGCTGTCTGAACTTGTTACCATAACTGTTATCGCTCAACATTGTCTTTTTTTGTTGTTACAAATGTCTGATGATTTGCTGCGCTATAAAAACCTAAAAACTTGTTTAACTCAATATGCATGCTGTTGCTGATCCCTTAACCAAACAAAACAACACAACACAGTTTCTCCACAATAAACTGTAACACTGTAAATAATTTAGTGCACTCTGAATGAATTCTTGAAATATACAGTATTTGTATGTACAACGTAAATTTCAGAAATGTTATTAACTATTTGGATGTGGGGGGGAGAAGAAGAAGTGAACAAAACAAAAAAAGATCATCCTTATCATGCCCATGTCATATTGTGTACTCACTTGGCAAATGTCATGTGTGCTGAAACATTAATGGGAACTGGGACATTTAAGCTAGTTTACGCAGTTTAACAGTTCTGTATTTAATTACTCTTCTAATTTTTCATTCAAGAAATGGAGAGTAATATAAACAACAACAACAACAACAACAACAAAAAAAACACATACACACTGATGTCTACAGTATTATCTGAAAATTCCCGAAAGTCTGGCAAATACCTGGTAGCTTAAAGTAAAAACAAAATAAGAAATCGTGAGTAACTGCTATGAGTTCGGCTGAACTTCCAACACTAAAAATGAAATCACGACTAAAGTACGTTTCTATTAATAGTACTTCTCCAGCTAAGCAACTCCCGCACAATTGGGGGCAGTCATGTTCCAAAAAGTTCTAGCCAAGGAAAAGCAAAAAGAAGAATGCCATACCTTTGAATGTTGGATACCGGGGGAATCTACTGTCCAAGCACTATTATACAGTAAAGTCTGCAATCTACAACAACGCAATGGACACCAGCCCAGTATTACTAGGTAACATTACGAAGTCTTCAACCGATGAGCTAGCTTAGCTAAATATGTATTTTGGTGGGATGGCTTACGGAATTTCCCAGGAAACCTCGCAAATCAATGCCCAAATTTGCATGTTGAAACATACATGCACCGACTTTATGTCAGTGGGCTCTTTTTAAGTTGAAATACCGAGACGGTTTCTGGTATAGAGTAAGGTTAACTTGTTTAGGCAGCTGAGAGGGTCGATACGTCATGGCCAGCAACCTCTGGACAGTGTTACCTAGCGACGGCAGTGCTAGCCAACAGATTAGCACTGACAAGCACTGCCGTCGCTGTGCGTCCTTCAGTCAGTAGAATGAAAGAAAAGACAAAAAACACGTAATTTCCCTCCACACAAGCTTCTGCTGTGTTTCAACTAAAGGATACATCTCAGGGTATATTGAAGTGTGCATTTAATATAGGTTATGTGTGAAAATCAGTTTTAAAAGTAAACTAAAGAAAGTTCTCCCACCTTTGTAGTCTTCTTGTTATCTTCTCTTTGTGTTGTATATGCACACCCAAACAGTGTATTGATTATGAGAATCACTAAGAAGTATCACTACTGAACTATTTACAGTGTCTTGTTGCCATTTTTCGTGGTTTCCTGCATTAAATTGGTAAAATAGACTTGTATAAGCACTACTGCATTGTTTAACTATTTATAACATGTGAAAGCAAGAGTTTTTTTTCTAAATTATTAATTTTTTTTTAGCACATGAAGTGAGTCAGAACTACAGCAGATAGTTTCCAAACATAACTCTACTAGGAATTATGCTGAGTGTAATCTTGGTCTGTGGTCATTTTAATTTTTTTTAGGTATACTATAGCGGATTGACTTTCATTGATGGGATCCATATCTAAAGCCCAGTTGGCTCCCTTGCCAAGGACAGAGGTCCTTGTCTATTGGGTGCTTTCCTTGGGCTCTCATCTCTACTCTTTCTATCAACTTCACAGGTTCAGCAAAGGTATAGTAGAAATATGACTACTGAAATATTAGTTAGATAAAATGAGAAAAAATAAATAAATAAAGCTGTTATATCCTGTTTTTGGCCCAGAGTATGAAGTGGGATTAGAGAGAGAATTCCAGTTGGAAAAGGGCCTTGTTAAAGGTTTTAAAAGGGTAAGTTCAGTGCTGAATTGATAGAAAGCCATGTCTGAACCAACAGACTAGATTTTAAGACTTATAGTGTACTAAAGGTTTGTGGTAATTTCCAGTTAATTTTAAATTTAGAATAACAAAGTAATAATTTTAATTTAATCGATGCATAGAAATAAAATACCTTAACAGATTTGCATTGTTTAAAGCTGCTTTTGAACAGGTTTCAGGTGTTATAAGTGCATTGTTTTGTTATCAGGACCCTTTAGATTTTGAGTGGAATTTCTGGACTGACTGGGCTAAGCACTCTTTACTGTGGACTCTGATTGGTCATGCTGTCTTATCAAGATTAACCAGCATCTTTTACCCCAAGGTATGAAGCTGTTGCTACAGTAATCTTTAAATATAATATAGGTGGCAAACAGTTTAATCCCACACATTTTTATGTGTTTTTCCATCAGCTTAGAGTGCCAGCACTTGCGATATATGGCTTCTTAGCAGCCAGCAGTGTTTTGGGGATTAAAGGTGTGAGTGTGCTGCTGGTACATCTGGGCTTGTCCTTTTCTATGGCCCAGCTGCGAAAGCCCGCTCTGTCGTGGGCATGTAACCTGCTGCTGCTCTACACACCTCATATCAACGAACTTCAAGACATCCAGGTGGGTTGACTTGGCTTTAACTCCTACAATAAATCTTTTCCTGTACGCTTGTAGGTGTTCTGAACACCTACAAAGCAACACCTAGTTCAAAAACTAACACAAAAATAGTAACTTTGACTGCATCAACAACAAACCACAGACTGTTCTGCAAAAACTGTTTTATTTCTACATTGGTATTCACAGACAAACACAAAGCCACTAAATCCTACACAAGGGGCTTGTGTAGGATTTAGTGATATCTGCCAGTGAGTGGTTTTTTTTTGTCCCATCCGTTTCTACTGTGTCCCACTGTAGAAACAGTGGCAGACTAATCCATCTGTAGATATGAAGAGATCATTGTAAGATGGTAAAAACACAGCAGTTCTTATTTCCAGGAGATTACATGTCCTTTAAAACAAAAAATATTTTTGAAAAAAATATTTTTTAACTGCTGTCCCAGCTGTCATGGGGCAAAAGGCAGGGTATATGCTGGACAGTTTACCAGCCCATGACAGGGCTTTATAAAATATATAAATAATAATGTTAAACTAGTTTTTTTGTAAAAAACTTTTGTTATTCTATAGCAGCATGATATCCAGGAACAATTTGAAAACTTCCTTTATCCTTGTGATTGTTACTAAATGTCATATTTGCCAAGAACACAAGAGGGCGCAAAATACTAAGGGAACCATTTGGTCACTTGCCTCCTTTCTACAGAATATCCAGATCACATGGTTAGGGTGAATTTATTTTGAGTATATTTATCTAACAGATCAATTTCCTAGATGATAAATGATAAATAGAAATAATTTCAGATAAAATGCAAACATTTAGATTCATTTTTTAATGTTACTTAACCATTTCACTATAGTCCACTTATACTGTATGAATAAATAGAATATATATTTAGTGTCTATCTTAGTGCTGTTACTACTAATGCAATGATTTTGATGGAATGCGTCATATGTAATTGGCCTTCCCACTGTATTACACAGAGAGGCTGGTATGAGAGTGATGAGGAGCACTATCTGCTGCTCTTCAGTGTTGCTGTTTGTGGTCTGCGCTTCATCAGCTTCAGCCTGGAGCACTGCTGGAGCCCTGAAGACCAATGCAGTGTTGTGCAGCTTTGCTGGCTGTTTTCGTATACCTTCTATCATCCTTTTTTCTATAATGGACCCATTATAACCTACAAAAACTACATTGAGCAGGTAAGAGACATCAAAGCATTCTTCTAGATTAAACTGAGAATCAAATTTTCCTCTTTGTTTTTTTTTATCTGCAAGAGACTGAAGCTGATTGGTGCTCCTGAGAGCAGATCTCCCTTTTACAGTACAAAAGAGCAGTAACATCACATGTTCACTTATTTTTTTTAATCAGCTTATCTTTTTTGTCGTAGTTTTGTACTTATCCTTACATTATGTGTTGCCTCTTTTACTACAACCCTGAGATTTTTTTTGGGTGGGGCTGTGTGAATGAAGATTCACCTGGCAGTCCTTAACAACATGCTCTTTTGCTCCACTAACAGATGCAGAAGTCTGCGGAGGAAAGTAACAGGGATGAATCTGCCCTTAGTTACTTGGTGCTCAGATTAGGACGGATCATTTTGTGGTGGTGTATTGCAGAATACATGATCCACGTCATGTACATGCACTCCATCCAGTCTAATGAGACCTACATAGAAATTCTTCCTCCTTGGGCCTTAGGCAAGTCTTGATACTCTGTTTTTTTCCACCAACAGCACAGCTTTCTTAAAATTTAAACTTTACATTTACCTACTACATGCTACCACCACAGGATTATGTAAGTTTTAAAACGTTCTCATATATGTGTGTATTTGTTTGTTTTTGATATAATAGTTTATTTGCACTTAAATTAAATATAAGCCCACTCTAAATTAGCAGAGCTGGTCTCTGACATGCACATAGAGTCAGATATACAGTTTATGCAGGTGGTTGTCTAAAATGTCTTTCATAAATTTTTTGAATGTTAAGCAAAAAATTGGTAACATGAATTTTAAAACACCTCTTGGATTATGAGCTTATGTCGAAGATGATATAATAGAGAAAAAACCACACTTGAGTAATCCAAGGTTACTGGTTATATGTTAAACCTGCACTACATCTGGTTTATACCACAAACGTCTGGGCAGTCGTGTTGTTGCAATCTGAGCACAGTTTGCTTATTGACACAAGCGAATTGGTGCCATCTAATCCTTCATTTCTTTATATTTTGCTTCCAAGAAGCCACACTTTCTTGTAATTGGTATTTTAAAGCAAATGTCTTGGGGCTTTCTGAAGGTCTGAAATACTTTGTTACTATTAGCCTGTTGCAAAAACATAATTTGTTCCAATTTTCTTCGTTCACTATATGAAAAATGCCAAGTTTGACACACATAAAATATTATTTCTGCAACAAGGAGATTCCTAAAAAGCTGTTCGCTAGACAATTGGCATATCTGAAAATTTGAAGAAATTGGACAAGTGACCTAAAATCACTATACTGCAGATGAACAAAAAGGTCATATCCTTAAGAAATTGGAAACAAAATCCAGCAAAGGACCTAAGAGATGCTTCTGGACCCGCAGTTGGTTTGTGTATTGTTTGTTGGCCATTATGTATGCCAAATTATACAAAAACTGGACTAAAAATCACTGATCTTATCTTATAGATCTTATTGAGTAATTAATCCAAATTTGAAATTTTTGGTTTAAATCGTTATAAATATGTAGAGAGGAGGTCAGGAGAGAGGTACAAGTGGAGGCTCTGTAATGGTTTGGGGCTGCATTTCAGCCAGTGTTGTCAAAAAAGTTGATGGAATTGTGAAGAAAGGAAGAAATGAAGTTTAGATCAAGACCTTTGGACAATAAGATGACTGGAAAACCTGTGGAACAAACAAATCACATCTAATCCTCCTTTCCCATATATCTTTTGAGTTTTTACTATAAATATAACACTGGCCTAACATACGTTTGAGGATTATATAGAACTTTTTTACAATAAGAACTTTTGATTTCACCACCTACTTTCATTTTTGTCACAGGTGGTCTTGCTCTAGCTGTCGTCCAGTTCTTCTATGTGAAGTATCTGGTACTGTTCGGCCTTCCATCCATGCTCGCTACTTTGGATGAGCTCGTTCCCCCCAAGCTTCCCCGTTGTGTCAGCATCATGTACAGTTTCACAGGCATGTGGAGGTAAGACAGTGGAATCAATTCTGGGAAACCACAGTGATAGAATAACAAACATAGTACTATACTGGTCTTACAGCTTTGCTAAATATTCCCTTTACTAGAAAAGCTACCTTTCCTCATGTCCTTAAATTAAAACAAAGTCATTTATTGTCAAGTTTCAAAGTGGGCGCAGAAAATAGTTTCATTTTATGTTGTTAATAGTAAGAACAACAGGTTATCCTACACAAGATCACCTGAAGATCATTCTTTCAGACTCATCATAATGATAAGCACATGTTAAGCTATTATTTTTAGGCCAATTTGTTTTCTTTAATTCATAATCAGCAGGTTTGTTGCAGTGTTTCTTAGACAGCAGGGACATTATGAAACAAACTGAAACCTTGTAGAGTAAAACCAAAAGCTTTAATAATTGAGTTTTACTTGTGTGTCAGTTAAAGGAACCTGGATATTTCCGGTTTATTATTATTTTACGCAGTGCTGTGTAATTGTAAGAAACGGGAAAGATGCTTTGATTTTTTTTCTGTTTCGTGGTTTAGAATGTGCTCGTATTGAATTATTTCTGTCACAATGAGCGGAAAAAATAATAATAACTTGTCTTTTCACTTATTTTTTCAATTAAAATGAAAACTAGTCTAATAGATCTATTCCTAGTTTATACTGAAGGGGTCACAATTGCTCAAGTTAATGAACATGCAAAGGAAAACGCTTGTTACAAGGGACAAGGAATCTTATTCAGCAGGTATTTCATTAACAAAAACAATAACACACTGTGTATAAGTATATAAATAAGGATGAACATTTGTGCTATTGTGCTGTTAGTATTTAGACTTTGCCACTTCAGAAAATCTCTTTATGTATTTATATAGTGCAAAATATACATTCATTTCATCTTATCTATTACAAGCTTATACAGTGCAGTTATTTGTTGTTTAGCTCTTAAATGATTTACCTTTATGATCAGGTTTCATGTGTATGATGTTGGCAGGTTTTACTTCCTTTTTATGGTTTAAGGTTAAGGGTAGACAGTTGAAACAACTCTTCATATCTTAAAAATAAATCCTCAAAAGTAATAATCATCATCACAATGAAGATGAATTAACATCTCTCTACAAGAGCTTATATCCTGCATCAAGGGACGCTTTACTGCAGGACCATTTTAGCTTGCCGTATAAACTAGCAGCTTATTATAGCAGTGGGCAGTTTTTAACAGAACAAACATACCATTAAGTGCAAACCTTGAACATATTACCATCTGCAACAAAAGGAGCGACTCAAATTGGGTTTAGATCCTGGTTATAAATTACCAGAGTATCCCAGCAGTTTGTCACTTTCTCCCAGTACAATCAGTCTTGTTCCCAAATGTAATTAACAGTGAGAAATTCCCCATATTTAGAGTACAAAAAGCTGAGCTAGAAGGCTGTGTGTTGGTATTACAGTAAAAAAACGAGAAAAAAAAACAGCTGTAGGATAAACGGACCAGTGTGCTGACACTGATGCACTCCAATCGAGCCTGTGTGTGTGCGCTGGTCGAATTCACTGATGGATTGCATAAAGCTATCCATCAACATTGCTGATGAAACAATTCCAGTTATAGACTGAGCCAAATCTAATCTTCTTAATGACAAAGAGGAAGCACATAAACACAAATGTGTAAACATACTTATTGCGCAGGTCTCAGTTTATATGAAGCCCAGTGCTCAGCTGGTTCTTACTCAATGATATATTATTATTATGTAAATTTGTGACTCAATGTATTTTTTTCACTCTTAGGCACTTTGATGAGGGGCTGTATCGATGGCTCATCAGGTAAGAGGCACTTCAGCGATGGACTGACTAATTCCAATGTTAATGCATACTTAAAATGAGAAATGTCATCCTAATCAAGTAATGCCTCAAGAATATCTGCCTATCTGCATCCATTTATTTGTCTGTCTTTATCTATGTCTGTCTTATCTAATATTTGGAATACTTTTGTATCGCATCTGTTATCTATTATGCAGTTAAAGAGCTTATTTCCTGTGGGGCATTGAACCTGTCAGCTGAATAACCTTAAAAAAAACATGCCATTCTCCTGCTGCCTGCCCACATTTTTCATCACAATGGATAAGGATGCTGCATTTGCATGTAGGCTTTCTCATGATTATGAGGTTGCATGTTGTTGGTGAACAGTTCCTCTATTGTGGCGCTGCCCGTGCACCCTGGAGAAATGCCTCCTTGTTTAATATGTGCATTTGTAATTTGCACACTTGTACTTTGGACAACACACATTATTGGTTTGTTTGCTTTTAATGATGCACACTTGGCTGAATGCAGCCTATTGGGAGTTTATGGTTTGCTTGGTGGAGGCAGGTTGCTACATTAAGGCAACGCTACAGTTGCATGGTTGTCAGAAAACACAGTGGAAATGTTCCCCTGTCTTGGTTATTATTTGCTAATTAGGGTTTTATTTTTTTCTCAGTTGTGTGACGGGTACAGTATGACGGTGCATGTGTACATCTACTTTTATGAAAGAATGCATATTAGAGATTTAAAATGGCTCCAATTAATTTGCTAGAGATCCCAGAATTTAAATTGCAAATGCAAGTTTCCATTTTAATTTGTGCCCATTAGAAATTGTTTTCTCCTGCTTAATGGCATCAGTTGCAATTATCCTACCGCAGATGCAAAATGATACCCATGACACAATGCCCCCGACGTTCCTTCTTGCAAAAGTGCTTTTAAAGAGGTTTTAATGCAGTTCTGAAATTCAGTTGAAATTGTCTGAAGAGCGTTAGATGAGTGCGTAGGTGTTAAATGATGTACTCTACATGACTCACTGACACCCCGTCTCCCTGGGCAGCTAAGTGGCTCATTCTTCGCCATTCCATTGCGCTTTTCCTGTCTGTGTGCCACAGTCTCTCAGGTTCTCCATTTCACTCGCATTTAGTTATTGCCCAACAAAAGAGCTCTCACTGGGTTATTGATTGAATTATTGCAGCTACACACGAGCAGAAGCATTTGATCTCACACCTTAGTAAATATTGGTTGCAAATATGTAAGTGGGGGAATAGGTTGGGTATGGTGCAAGGTTAGAAATTAACTTCGGTTTTTAGTGCATTTAAAGCAAAACCGATTAAGTAAGCTGCATGCCTACACAACAACAATATATACTACACTCTTTAATTCCTAATGACAGTCGATAAAACCTGTGAGCATGTTGTAGTCTGCACCACCTGCTTGGATTAATCAGGTGTTACATAACACATTGATTAATCAGAGATTAATGTACAGCATGATATTATCATATTTTGAAAAACATCTGTTTAGAATCCATCTACATCCAAATGAATGTATTAGATGGATAGATACTCTGCATGTTTAGGTATTCAGTTTCCTCTGGCTCTGACAATCTGGTACCTTTCCATCTGTTTTCGCACCTACTTTCATCCTCAATATGGCCGAGCTGGCCACTCTATTTCAGGCTTAGAAAATGCTGGCTCATCTTTCAGGAACATTGATTAGCCACAGGGTGGCTGAGATAATGAGTTCCCAGCTCAGCAACACTGCACACAATGATTTGTTTGTTAAGTGTGTTGGAGTGATATAGCATGTTCAGACTCTTGTCAGTACCTCTGGGACAGACAAGGTTCTCGCAGTATCTGAGGCAATTTTTCTTCACAACATGCTCTGCATTTGATAACGACTGGACGCTATTCACATCGAGTGTGTTATCACATGAGGTGCTATTTTTATACCACATGGAACGTAATCTAATCTAAACCACAAAAATGAACTGCAGGAGCTGTGCTATAGCTTTACTGTTTGATGAATTACCTCATGAGAATTGTCGCTCTTTTATTTAACTGTGTATCCTCACAGTTTATTAACTGATATACTGAAGTCAGAACCAGGAGCAAAAGTGCGCTAAAGTGTTGAATAATACAGAATTTGTACGTTTGACAGTGGGTTAAATGTGTGTGAATCATAAAAAAACACTTAAAAACATTAACCCTCCTCCAGAGTTGTTAATAGGTTGATTGATATTCTCTGGTTTGCCTCTATTTTTGCAACTAGACGTCAAAGCCACGTTTAAAAGTAAAATCAGCATGAGCACGCAGTTTTTTCTGGTTCTGATTAATCCAAAATGCATTGTGGTGCCATTTTTACACTTGCAATGTTTTGCAGTGGTTAGTCTTTACACAGGTTAGAATCCCCTTTTTTATTCATTCTGTTGACACTGGATTGCTGTTATTTTTATGACATGTACTCGTGTTTCAGATACATCTATGTTCCACTGGGAGGTTCACGCCATGGTCCTCTTTGCAAAATGTTTTCCACTGGCGTTGCGTTTGGATTCGTCTGCCTCTGGCACGGTGGACATGACTTCTTACAGTACTGGGCCCTGATGAATTGGGCTGGAGTTCTGGTGGAAAATTCTCTGAAGTCTCTCTTTGCCTCGACCTTTATTCACTCCGTAGTTGTAAGTTTGAAATCCATTGACGGTGCTAAAACATTAGGTTTAAATTACCTACTAAGTCTTTCATTTAAGATGTGTGGATGTAATAAAAATCTCTCCTGCAGTCAGAAATAAAGAGGTCATATTATGTTATTTAGTGAGAGATGATGCCTAGAGAGGGTACACTAATTACAGACTGGAGACAAACTGGCTGGATCTTGTCACATCTAATGGGGAAGTACACTTAACCTCAAATATTCATGTTAGTAAAAGCCTGTTCCCAATTGCTTCTTTGGCCATAGCCTTGGGAGATGGTTCATGTTCTCAATATAGTGCTCATATCTGATGGCACACCGTGAAATCCACCTAGTTTATGGTCACACAGTTCATTTGTGCCAGGTGCCTCTCTGTTCCTTCTGCCATGTACAATAGAAATGTCTTGTGGTTCGCCTCTTAGTATTTATTTTTCTGATTTCCCAGGAGCAGAATTTCTCTGCGGCGATGAAAAGGCGATGCATCGCCCTTGTCTTTGCCTTCTCCACTGCTATGCTCATCCTTTCTAATCTGGTGTTCCTTGGGGGAATACATGTTGGCAGAATCTTCTGGAAGCGTGTCTTCATTCACGGTAAATTGCTTTCCACAACATTCACTCAGTGGGAATTGCGTGTGGCTTTATTTTGCAGGATTGTTTCAGCTGGCATTTGTACATTCTCCTGTGTGGATTATCAGCCATGTGCTCCTTTTAATTTGACAGCTGAGTTGCATTGTAGGTCATCACATGTTTGCCCTCAGCGGTGAGAGCAGCTAAATATTGTTTTTCCTAAAGCAACAGAGCGAAGCCAGCCAGTATGTACTAGAAAATAAAATCGGAAATAAAATATAAGAAATCATTAAAAATTTTGCTTCTCTGTAGGCTTGTGTATTTAACAGTTTTTCTAATTTAATTAATCTGCACAGGCGAATAAAGAGACATCTGCTTATGTGGTTGTGCCAGGACCTATTTTTCTCCCAGTGTCTCTTTTTTTGGCTCATTGGATACCTAAAGAAAGATGGCAGCGCCTCTTGAAGCCTGTCTAGTTACGATAAGCAGTCTGAGCTGCACTCGCTGCTGGGCTGGGAGCACAGTCGGTACAAAAAAGCCCATCAGTGGAATGTCACGTCATCAATATTGTATATTAACCAAAACTTTAATGTGGAATTTTAATTGAGTTGAATATGAGTTTACTCATTTATATCGCTAAAATGTGGCAAACATAGAGGCTGATTAAAAGTCCAAAATGTACATTTTTATTCAAAGCCGGCAGAGGTCAAAGACAGTAAAGCAAGCAGCCCTGCAAAGGATCCAGAAGAAGAGCAGGCAAACACTAAATCCAATTGTCAGTCACAAAGGAGACAAACACAAAAAGATAAGAAGGAATAAGACAATCTGGCAGAGATCTGTGGAAACTGACGAGTGTATCTATATAAAAACCGTTGGGTGAGTCGCTGATTTAACACGGGGGAGAAACGGGGAATAGGTGTGGAAGATGACAAAGGAAAAACTAATAAGGCAGTGGCAAATAGAAATAAAATTACCGCAGGAAGTAAAACAGACGAGAAGCAGTGATTACAAAATAAAACAAGCAATAGCTTGAACCAAAACATGACATTTATCCACTTATGAGCAGCAGTGGAAGCTGTACTACAACAACAACATTTCTACCCTGTAAAGTTTGTACAAGTGTTGGATGTTAGGAAACAGCTGCTTAATTGCTTCATTATTTCTTTTTCTTTCTTTCCAGCTCTTTCTTTGACTCTACTAACTCCTGAGGGAAATAAGTGAATCTTTAGCTGCTAAATGCATTTACCAGCGAGTCCCAGACTGTGCCAGTGTGCTTATGTTTGGTGCTGAAACTATGGTTTACACTGTGCTCATGAGAGCTGAAAACAGTTGCCTGCTGTTTAAAATAGGATTTTAAAAGGAACTTGAAGAGATGAAAGTTGTTAGTAAGCTGATCTATGTAGTGCCAGGGACGTTTTTTTTTTTAAAAAAATGACAGATTGTTGTTTTCATTCATTTAAAAAATACATATATATTGATGTGAAGATCACTAGTATTGATGTGAATGGTTTACTGTTAGATTTAAAGGTTGTGTAATATCACCCACGAATGCCATGGCAAGAGGTAAACTCAGGTAACAGATAAAGGGCAAAAGACCGTCTTTCTATTTCATGCTGATTTTAGTTCATGTTGTGCAGTGAGTGTAAATCCACAAACTGAAGCACTTCTTTATTACTTTTCTTTATCACTATTTATTATTTTAGCATTTCTGTTTATACCACAGTCTGTGGGATCTTAAAGTCAACCCTAAGCAGTCTGACAGGGTATTTTCCAGTCACCACTTAAGCTTCAATGTTACAGTAAAATTTTGTTGGAGGCAGCAAATGGTGCGTAACTTTACACCTCCTCTAGCACTCCTGACCTCCTTCGTGCTCACAAGACTGTAGTCTCGGTGTAAATAAGTTAAGAGGAACCCAAAAATAAGTGCATGGTGTTTGAAAATACCATTTCAGTTGTGAATTATTCAGAGCAAGAGCTGCACAATAGCTGAGAATCTCAGTTTGCTTTTATGGGGATTTATTAAGATCATTGAAATGCTAAAAAAAAAAAAAGACTGGAAAATTAGAAATACATGATTTAACAAATCACTTAATAAGCTCGGTTCTTTCACTGATTACATGTGTTTTTGCACTTTAAATTGAGATATAATGGTTCCAGCAGAAACGCCTGAGGCAGTTACTTGTGTCTGCGTGTGTCCTCACAGGAAACTGCAGAGAGGGAGCTGTGGTTTCATTAACATGAGTGTCTGGGATTGTGAGTGGTGCAGGCAGTAGTGTAATTGCTCCCTGACCTTTCTGGGAAAATGTACAACAAACAATTTTCTGAACACACTGTGTGTCTTAAGTTGTTTGTGTTAACAGTGTCCCCTTGAGTCTTGCACCTGAAAGCCCCCATGTACTCTAAAGTTACAACTAAGAGACAGACCAAGTTTTAATTCAAGAGCACACAAACACAGCAAAAAGTACCACTGCACTGTTATGTGTGGGGTTTTTTTTTGTTTGTTTATTGCATGCACAAATGTGCTGATGACATCTTCACTGTTACCCAAGGAGTACTTTTTGTGTTTCATTTTTAACTGCAAAGATTCCTTAAAGCTCAATTTAAGGCACATGAAGTCCTAAAAATGGCAATATTTCCCCTTAGAACATTTACCTAACATTGGTAGAATTGCTATATATTTACTTTAGGCAACAAACGTGTGTTGTTCCCAATTTTAGCACATTCTTTTTTTGTCTAAATAATAATGGTACTTTCTGGGAAGAAACACAAGTCCCTTCTGGGGTTGCGTCAGGAGGGACATCCAACATAAAAATCCTGCCAAAGCAAACATGCGGCGCTACCCACTGTGGTCGGCTTAGCAGATGACTCCCCGCATTTCATTTTACCATAGACTTTTACACCAGCTGTCCTTCTTATTTCAACCCTTCCAAATCTTGAAGCAGAAATCTTTTGTGTGTTAGGCCAGGTTGTTAACCACTACACTGTTAAGCCATAGTATTAGCGTTTCAGAAGCTAGTTTTTTAGTGTGCAAGCATGCTAACATTCAATAAGTAGCACTAAACACATCTTGTGTATAAAAGATAGGTGGAACCCTTATCTGATTTGACTTTCTTTTCTTTGTTTATTTTAAAGCAGTCATCACTGTGATTGGGATAAGACTATCCGGTTGCTAAGTCTGACGTCACTAGCCGGTCCATATATCAAATGATCACTATGGCATTACTGAGAGTTGAAAAACTGTCTAAAGTCTTTCATCTTCAATAAAATGATCAGCGTTCTGCTCTACCAGGTGTAACAATTGAGTTTAACATCCAGGCATCCATGAAAACGGAATTTATGACATTTAACGGAGTTAGAAATTAGCAGGAAGTTAGCTCGCTAGCTTCTATCTAAATACAATATAGCATGTTCTGACTGCGGGGTTTTGGAAACAAATTAAAACGTACAGCTCTGTTATCACTTCCAACATAAATGAAGACAGAAAACTTAACAGCAGTGATGTTTGTAGGGTTACTGAAGTTTGGCTATCTGGTATATAATGATGTGCTACGTGACTGCTAGCGACACAGCTATGTTAGCATAATATAAACAAGCTAACTTTTTTTCCACTCGATAAAAGTTAACGTGAGTGTTCTCGGTGGTCAGGAACAAATGTAATCGCATGGCAGGATGCTGTAAAAGGACCAAACTTCAGCCAGGAGAACAACTGAGATAATCCATCCACATATGAGGTTAGTCATTCATATACTGCTGCATGGGCTGGGTTGTAGTTACATCCTAAGGTTTTAAAAACTGAGCTTAAATAAATGATTAGCGGTAATAAAAGCCGAGGGAGGTCAACAGTGATCACTGACTGTTTTAGGAGCTTTTTGAGATTAAATAGAAGAAAATACAAAACATTAAACATGTTAACAACACAAAAGCCATATTAAACGCAGACTACTTTAGGCCCGGAAGTAGGATTCGTTACGTCATCACTTAACAGCCGGATAGAGTTGCTAAGCTAGCAATGGCTAGTTAGCTTTGTTAGCTGGGTGAATCCATAATCCACTGATAGGAAATGGGACAGAGTCCATAGAAAAATGACTGGGTGACTGTCAGTGGTAGGAAAACAATCACATTTTCCTCTACTTCTGCCTTTCTAGTGATATTATATAAACAAAGAGGTGAAAAAAAGAGCTAACCTACAATTTTTAAGTTTCTTCTTTTATCTGAAAAGTTGTTCTGGTCATCAGTTGGTTTTATTTTGTTTTTAGATTTTAGTTGCCTGCAAAAAACATTGCAAATAATCAAGAAGAAACGAAAACACCGAATACTTTTTTAAAAAATACAATCAGTTCCAACATATTTCTGAAGTTACCTTTGGCTAGTAGTGTTTCTTTCAACTTTGCCTTTCTGCTATGTTAGTTGTTGGCCACATTAAAGATTGGATAACTGACTGGAGAACATATTTCACACTGAGGGTGTTAATGAAATGCAGATACCTGCAAAGGCAAAACACTGGGGTGTCTTGGCTCATAATGTACATGTAGGCTAGAGGGCTTTAAATAATGAATAAACAGGTGGGAAAGGCTTCATATAATGATAGCTTATGTGAAAATGGTTATACCCAATGTGATTAATAATTAGTTCATATTTACTAAAACATCAAGGCTTTTCTTAAAGATGGTTGCAATCAGACAGAAATGCACTATGCATACTACACAACACAAAACTTATCCTCCGTGCGCCATTAAAATATTTTGCATCATAATAAAGCTTTTCTGGCCTCAGCTCATGTAACCTTTTTTTTACGCAGACAGAAAACTGACAGTACAGCTGTGCATAAAGCAGCCAGTGTGTGCGTGAATTAGATTTTGGCATGAATAGAAAAGAATAGACCATTGAAAAGCATTGTGGGTGCAGGTGCAGGTTACTGAGATAATCTGGAGGCAGGCCAGTTGGGGAGGAGGTGCAGACAGCTGTCCTTACCTGCCTGCACGACCCTCGGAGAAACGGCTAAATATAGAAAAAGGAGGGAAAAAACGTAACACGATGCAGTATGGCACAGGGAAATGAGCAAACCTACTCACTTAGCATATACTTTTAAGCTGCGTTTAAGCTTCATTCATAATTAAATAACTGACAACAACACATAGACTGCATTATCCAGATAGTTTGTAAATCGAAAAACATGCAAATATATTTGCTTTCTTTTTGTTTCAGGCTGGTCTACCATGGCCCCACCAATGCTAGCTTTCCTCTACTGCTATGCTCAGATTGGGCTTGAGTGGACTCCTCACCCACTGTGAGTCACCTTGACTTAAGAGCAGTGACTGAGAATCCCTGCTACTGGACAGATACAACAACCTGCTGACTCCACTGCCTTGCTCTCACCAGCCAGAGTCTCACTGTGGTGGACCTGGCTCATAGCCACACAACCTGTCCAAACCTGGCTGGAGTACGGCTGAGCAGCCACTTTCCAAAACCCGCAGGTCTGCACAAAATTTGTCTGTAAACTGATACTTACAGAGAAAGTTTTCTGAACTTTGGGTGAAATGTAAGTGCACCCAAACTGTAATAAAATTGCTGAAAATTTAGGGCAGTCTGTAATAGCAGCTCTGAGGCAGTAAGCTAGATGAAATCACTGCTATTCTAAGAAACTGTAAAAGAAAATGTGGACTCTGAATCTCTCTCTTGGTTATATGACTTTGACAAGGTATTGCTTGGAGTTGCAGGAAGCTGAAGAAAGTACCGTCTTCCTGTAGCTCTCCACAAAAAACAATCAGATGTAGACGGTTGACAAAAAAAAGCATATCCAACTGCAGTCTTTGATTCAAAACACTAATCCTGTTGATTATCAGTTTATTACATCTGGGATGTAATAAATGACAAGCTGCTTTTGGCTTTTTTGTTGTTACATACTAAATCACCTTTCATTTCCAAAATGTCAACATAACAACTAAATTTAGACAAAAGTAAAATCTCATTTTGTTGCAAAACTCATCTGCCATCTGTCCAAATCTGTCAAGTACTTGGTCATCAAGGACTGTCAGAATGTGCCTGCTCAGTCAAAGCAATGTGATTAACGCTGAGGGTTATGAAACAGCAGAGGAGTCCAATCCATTTGTGCTTTACTGTAAAGCTTTTGTTTCAAGGGGGTTTTGCAAGTCATAGGCTGATTACACATGTGAGAGTGACACTGCTGAATAATGTGCATTAGAACTGATAGATGTTGTTGTTGTTGTTGTGTGTGTGTGTGTGTGTGTGTG